TGTATAGACAGGTGTGTGGCTTTCCTAATCACGTCCAATCAGTATAATCAAACACCGCTGGACTCAAATGAAGGTGTAGAACCATCTCAGGGATGATCAGAAAAAATGGGCAGCACCTAAGTTAAATATATGAGTGTCACAGCAAAGGGTCTGAATACTTATGACCATGTGATATTTCAGTTTTTCTTTTTTAATAAATCTGCAAAAATGTCAAACATTCTGTGTTTTTCTGTCAATATGGGGTGCTGTGTGTACATTAATGAGGAAAAAATGAACTAAATGATTTTAGCATATGGCTGCAATATAACAAAGAGTGAAAAATTTAAGGGGGTCTGAATACTTTCCGTACCCACTGTATATGGTGTAAGTAGTGGCTTTATTAACAGATAATAAGTTATTTACTAATGCTTTTTCTGTCACTTACTTACATTAATAAGAACATCTGTGTGGTTGCCAGGTTGTGAAACTCCTTTTTCTTTGTACCTCCTTCAGCATTGTTGTTTTCTATTCAGACCAATGAACAATTTGACTACTTACTTTCTGCACGACATCTGGACCACAATCCATTTATGAACACCTATTCAACATTTACAGCTGCAGACTAGATTGAATGTTTTGCAAATCCTTCATTATTGTCTTGTTAACGTAAGTTATTGCTAGTGACTTGTGACAAAAACAAGAAACCATGGGTATTTACTAAGAACTTACCAATATTTAGAAATTACATCCATAGAATCGTTCTCATTGATGGCCTACAACTGACTGATTTAGCATTAGTAAGTCATTTACCAAAAATCTAATCAATAATTACAGTTTATAAATCCTTTATAAAGGGTGTCTAATTAGAAGATCGTACCAAAAGCTGTTTTTGTCCACCCTGTATCATAAAAACATTACAGGACATACACATGCATAAAAACTTCAGTATGCACATACACGGGACAATTAAACATTCATTAATGGACACATATAATACACTAGATGCTTAACACACACAGTGTGCATCCAAGTATGCATAATGCTATGGACTGAGTTTGCTGCAACACACCTGATATTTAGCCGTCCACCAGATGGCAGCTAGGCACACTTACTGTATAATGTGTGTCTAATAGTATATCAACCTGAGTGACTGGTGTATAACAGCAGTGACTGTCAGAGTCTCTGCAACCCCTTTACACTCTGCAGGACCACTAACTCTCCTGGCTGTGATTTCAAGAATCCAGACCAATATGAGGCTTTTCACTTATCCATATTGTGTGATTTCAGCACAGCCTCAGGATACAAAGCACTGAGAGAAGCAGGGGTCAGGGGTGAATAATGTTCAGGGGATATTTTGTATAAATAAACTGAGGAACCTCTACTCCAAAGCCAATCTTAGCTTCTTAGTTTCTTTTTCAGGTTTTTCTTAAAGTACAGTCCACACTATAACCTTCAAAGAACATATCTCTGAATTTGATATAAGAGGTGGAACTCCTGAGGGATTTATTTTTACACAGTCAGCCCAGGTTTCATGGCTCTGAATTCAATGTTCCTTTTATCTGACAGCTTCCCAAGTGTCTCTTGTCTGTGCTTTACGCTACTGTCTCTTCTCTGCACAGGTGCCCTCCAGGCCACCTGACAAAAGAGAGCTCAACGGGCAAAGTGTGTGTCTACACGCTATGTGCCAGCCGGCCCTGTCGCCACGGCACCTGTGTGCCTCACTCTCCATCTCGCTACTCGTGCCACTGCAGCGAGGGCTACCGGGGACGGCACTGTGAGGTGGCGCTCGCCATGTTCCACAATGAGGATGGCAACAGCCTCAGCCTCAGCTCCATGTTCGCCATCAGCATCTGTGTCATGGCTTTTCTAGGTAGCTATGTCGAGCATGTCCTCTTCTACCTGTAGTAAAACACTGTCATCATCTCATGGTTTTATGTGTTCTTTGTGTCTACCAATTGCTTTCTTTTTTCATTTTTAAAGAATACAGTTGGTCATTTTTTATAGGGTTAGGGTTAGAGTATTTTCAACACTCCCCATACAGAGACTGGAACCAACACTAAAGCTTATTCATCTGTACCATAGACCTCCATTGCTGTTCAAAAACATCAGCGAAACCCACCGCTGCACTGGGTAACACGGTTCTTCATTACAAAACACCAGACCCAAATATGTGTTAAAAATGTTGCCCCAAAAGTTCCAAATGACCATAACATTTTACAGCATCTGAAGAAGCTAGAGACAACTGCACATGAGCTGTCTGCTTTGTTTACAGTCCTCTAGCCGCCTGTGCTTTCACAGAGATCCAGCACACAGAGGTCTATGGCACAGATGATCCAGGTTGGAGAATGGCTGATATTGAGTAGAGGCAGTTCACTGCTGGTTTTAGTCTCTGTATGGGGATCATTAATATAGAAAATGACCGAACCTATTCTTTAACACATCAATTTTCATCATGTCGTTTCTGGCTTCTTTTCATTTTCAAGACATAATTCTTGCATTGTGTTTGGGTTTATATGCAACATCCACAGTTTTATTTGTTTTCCACCCATTTGGTTCACTGACACACGAATCTTACAGCTATATTGATCTCCTGAGTTGTACTAGGTGAGGCTGGCGAACACAGGAAACAGATATCTTTTCTGGAAGAAAAGCAGAGCGGGAACCATTGGATGTCTTAATTTGTGATTCACAGGGAAGCTGTAAAAGTCTCTGGAGAATAAGAAAGTTCCATTATTTGTTTTCCTGTATTTCTCATCACTTCTGTGCCCCCTGTCTTTTCCAGTGTTACGCTCTGACTTCAGGAGTCAGTTCCACTCTTTTATTTGTCCAACTTATTTTATATCCCACCATTCACTCATTTTACCTCCTTGATGTCTTTTGTTGCCATTCCTCTATATTTCTGTGTACGTTTCTGTTTTCCCAGGTCTGCTTCAGTGCATCTATATTGTGCCAAGCACCATACGTAACACTTCACTATTAAATGAGAACCATCAGAACAGCTCATTCTGGGTCATTCTAACTAAAAGTCAGATTTAGTTGAAGGCCTGTCATAAAATGTATTTAACCAAATCTCTCTTAGTACTGAAGGTATAATCAAAAGACTATGGGTTAAATGGGTAGATTTGATTTGACACAAGTGTTGCGAGCTACTCTGTAATAGTACTAGCAATATAGAAATGCATGGACCAGATTCCTGGTAGCGAGCATCATGCAAGAGCAGTACCACACAGGTTCATCTGCAGAAACATTTTGTGTCACAATACAAGATGCTGAACACTCACAGCATCAAACTGCATCGTTTGTGTCTCCTCTAAAACTTTCATTTTGGAGAAACTGCTGTACACATTGCCTATTTTAAAATGTGAAAGCACCATCACTGGAGAATAATGTACCAGCCTGCTACTGTATTTATATCTTATAGTGAAAAAAAAAACCTAGTGTTGGGAGTCCAGCAAAGACTGTGTCTCAAAATAAAATGCCCCCATGCAGAGGATTGCCTGTTGATGGTCAATGGTGATGGTGTTTTCTAATAAGAAAAAATATTCACTATTTTTAAATTACACTCATGACACACAGCTTATTTATGATCTTTTAGCAAAATGCATTAGTTGATATTTTCACCTTCCTTTCACCATGTGCTTTATCTCCAAAACTTTAATGAGCATAAGTGGCACCTGATCCTTCAACTTACTGTATGTGAAAGTATTGAATTCATCTAATTAGTTACTTTTCATCATTAGTTCCTCGGAAATATAACTGTTTGCTGTTAGAACAAGTAAAAACATGAGGTCAGCTTGTTTTGTATGTATAAGTAACTTAGACTGAGTGACTGTAATGTAATACAAATCCAATATATATATAAAAATTCCCCCCCTCGCCCCCCCACTTTGGGGCGGTCTTGTATTCCTTCCTTCAAGCTCAGGTCCTCTACCAGAGGCCTGGGAGCTTGAGGGTCCTGTGCAGTATCTTAGCTGTTCCTAGGACTGCACTCTTCTGGACAGAGATCTCAGATGTTGTTCTTGGGATCTGTTGGAGCCACTCTCCCAGTCTGGGGGTCACAGCCCCCAATTTTATTATTACCATAGTGCCTTCACATGGACAAGAGATGAGAACAAGGAAATGAAGTTCACAAAATAACTCTCCCTTTGAAGACTTATTGGTTGATCTCTGCACTCTGACTTATAAGAGGTTGTAAGCTCAGAAATGTATTCCCGAGTCCGACCACTGAGGGTTATGTAGTCTCTTCTTTGTGCCTACTGAGAGCCAGGCTGCTGAATGTTTAAAATTTTAGTGTATGACTTAGTACATAGTGTTGTTTAAATGAGAAGGTATATGTACTGTATAGTGATGGCCTTTTCTGTGTATCCAGCAGTTTCTAAATTGAACAAAGCACACTTAAAAGTTTTTTTTTATTTTAATGTGCATCAATTTTAAATTCAGAATCAAATATAATGACAGAATGAGCATGCGGATGTGATTTGACATACAGTGGAGGAAATTATATTTTTGCAATGAGGACAGATGTAAAACTGTAAAGAAAACGTGTCTTTAATACTATGCATGCAACTGGGAACATAAACAAATAAAGATGAGAGCCTGAAACTGAACCCTGAGGAACGTCACAAAAACTCTATGGATAAGTCGAGACCTGGCTACACTATGTCTGCATCTAATTATTGAATAATCCTATGCTTATTCTCTCGATTCATCTTTTAGTCTAAACATTTTCACAATGTCTTTTTTTCCCCAAACAACAACAGTCCAACTCAAAGATATTACTGATAAAATCCTGAGAAGAACTGCAAATAATCACATTGGGTGTCTTTATGTGAAAAGGATTCATCAGTTATCAGAATAGCTGCTGCATAATTTTCAGTCAATTAATCAACTAAATATTTCAGCTCTAAACCTGAACCAGCTGAATGTTGGTGACATCAACCCACTGGCTTCTATGAGTTGATAAAATTGCAGAGCTGATGTTTTATAAGCTGTGTTGTGATCTAATAGGATCAGGGCTAACTATAAACTACACACATCAGACTTGTGTTAAAAAAGACTAACTATCCTTTTAAATCATGGTCAAGTTTAGAGGTTTCGGTTAATTTTAAGGGTTGTAGCTGTGAAAATGTGATATTTTGGTCCTCAGCAACATAGAGGGACATACTGTACATGTGTGTGAGTGGCTTGCATGTGACTGCACTCACTGCCCTCTGTGGGGCCACATCACTGTTTATGAGTCTTTCTGTCAGAGACAGGCTTATAAAACGCTTTAGCAATTCCATACACTGTCCCTGCCTCTATAACTGACTCACCATTCCCTCCAGGGCATGTGGCTAATATTGGGACATCATTTATTCTGACACTTGAGAGTGAACCACGTAAAGTGGTCTTCAATATTTGATAATGAATTTAAAAATGGTAAAAAATGTGGCCTTGGCACTCTCATGAAAATGCATGTGTTTCTCACATGCAAACTAAAGGAAGGTTCAGTCTATTTGACGCCACAGAGTGGACAAATTACAGAAAGGGTGAGTGACAGTAATGAAGCCACGTCAGAGTCCTTGCACACAGGCCCCTGTGTACCTCCTTTTTGCACTCCAGCTTCTTATTTAAAAGTGTTTGACATTGCTTTTTACAGTTTTAACATGTTGATGTTTTTTCTGCCTTCGCTGATGGGGCAAATTAAAATTAAACAAGCACTCTTTGGCAACTGTTATATTTTCATGCCTTGAGAAAGTTTTAGAAAATAAGCTACAAAAATAATTTTCTTAAACATGAAGCAAAAAGAACCAATTTTACCATGTGAATGTAGAAATGAAATTAAACCAGCGGTTGGGTTTAATGAGCAGCTGGTTATACAATGTGCAGCTGTGTTTAACGATGGCCCTCGTCACCACATGAACCACCACCATAAATACACACTTGCACTCTGCACACTCGCTGCACTAAGCAAGTCAGCTAGCTGGATGCTAAATTAAAGGGGGACTCCTCTGCCTCAGCGTGCATTAAAAGTTTAAACCATCATCCATTATTAAGTTTTACATAAGCCATCGCCAGCCAACCAGAATGAGAGTTCAGGCTGCGTTATTGACAGAGCTGGATGAGCTGATGTCTGACCAAACCTCATTAGTCCAGCATCAGGTCTGACATTCTGCTTTTGAAGAATGGAAAAAAATGTGCTTTCCACATAGGCTCCTGGATGCCAAGCAATCATGTAAAGTGCCTGTTTTTTCCCCAAGGTATTTAGAAATAAATTATTTTTTCAACACCTCCCCATTTCTCACCTGTCGCATTTTCTTCTGCTCCTTCATTTTCCTCCCGAATCTTGATGTCTCATCTAACTCATACCGCATTTTTTCTCCTTAAACTCAGACTGGAGCTACAGCGAAAGGGTTAAGTGTTTTGATCAAGCTGTTGTTGTTGTTTGATGGTATAATGCGTAGTCCGATACAGGCTAACAACATAATACCCTGTTTACAGTAACGGTTAGAAAGCAAAGAGGCAGCAGAAGTATGGATTGATGAATGACTGCAATGTTTGTCTCCCACCCCCCTCCCCGGAATGATATCGATCTCACTGGATCACTGGAACGTAGCTGCGCACACTCAGCTCCAGGCAGTAGCTGCAGGTATAGGAGGGTAACCACAGTGTCAAAATATGTGTTTACTTGTGTCTAATTGTGTGTGTGCGTGGTGGAAGGGTTGTGTATCGAATCCCTCCCCTTTAGAGATGTGTTTATTACCAGCTCAGGTGATGCTGAGGGATGAGGCGAGCGCAGGCCTCCAGGCAGCACCTCGGAGCAGGCCATTCTGGAGGTGATTTTTTTCTTCTAGTGTTTTCTTCGAGGCTGCAGCTGTGAGGAGGCGGGGTCTCAGCTGATCAATACCTCTCTCTTCTCTGGCCCATACTGAGCATGAGCGGCTAAGAAGTAAAGGAGGGAGCTTACAGTCTCTTTTTATCTGATATGAGAGCAGTATGGAGAGTATCAGGACTAGTGTAGCAGCTGAGGTGTTAAGTATGGTCCAGCCAATGCATTTATACAAATAATGATTTTTAATTGAGATTGCATTTCTTTCTTTTTTTGTGCAGAGATTAGTTCTCAGGGAGTTGTTTTTCTGTCATTGCTTATGAGTACCTACCTGTTAGTGTGACCCTGTGGAGCTGTTGGTGCATTATTCTCCTTCAAAGCAATTACTTTAAAACTCCAGACTAATGTGATTACCCGGCATTTCTCAGAAGATTTCCAATTAACCTGATACTTAGCACAACATATAAACTATTCCATTTGAAATGGATTCTATCTAGTGTGAGAAATAAAAGCCGAGGCCAGATAAAGGCCAGAGAGAGACTGAAAAATAGAAACAGTCAGGGACTTAATGAGTGAAGAAAAAAGGAAACTGGAAAAGACAGCGGAAGTTCCAATACAGGGAGAAAAAATAAAAGAAATTCAGAGATAAAAGGAAACAGAGTCAAAGAGTGAACTTGTAAAAACAGCGAGGAAGTGAGAAAGAGGGATGGCAGATGGGAGAAAATATTGGTTGAGATTAATGGACTTTAAAGGTCAGTCCAGCATGTTGTATAATTCAGCACACAATAGCTGTGATTGATGTGTATGCTTTAGGACCTTTTCCTGCACAGATTCCACTGCATTCCTCTCTACCTTCAGTCAAGCCACCGAGGCTTTGAGTTTAAGCTGGGAGGAGTACAAACTCACTTAATAGGTTTCCAAGGAACTGCGGCCTTCGATAAGCCAGGAAACAGAGGCAACATCAAAGGAGATAGGTGGAAAGGTGGTGCCTCTGTTTCCATGTGTGTTCCATTAGGATGTCTTAACTGTACAGTCAGTGCAGCTAATAGGACTTACAGGACGAATCAATGTGATGGAAAATCCATTTACAGTTAAATGTAATTAGTCTGTAGTACCTATTCATTTAGAAGGATGTTGCGTGTTATATTACAAGTGATGAAAAATGCATATATTTTCATATTGCATAGCTGGTGTAGCATGTATAGTATTTCAGTGTTATATCATCACTTTCCACTCACACTGTCAATTTCATTTTCACCCAGAGGTCTGTTTTCTGCTCAGAATCTCATTTGAATTATGTGAGAATGCTTCTGCCGTGTTCACTTGCTCTCTGGCACCCCTCAGTGTTGATGCTGGGCCTGTTTCTCTACTCCTGCTGGAGGAGACACAAAGGCCTGAAGGACGGTGTGTACCATGTGTCTGCACACCACGGCGAGTGGGAGGACATCCGAGAAAATGTGCTGAACTACGACGAGGAAGGTGGCGGGGAGCAGGACCAGGTAAACATATGCATGTGCTGGGAGTTAGGCAGGGGAAGTAAACCCATGCTAAAATCTTTCCCATGCTTCA